GCGTCGGGGGAGGGGTTTGGGGAAGGGGGGTCGGTGGGAGGGGCGCTGGTCTCGGGCCTAGGGGTCCGGAGCGGCTGAGGGGCGGGGAGCACGGCAGTAGGGAAGGCTGCGGTCTGGCCGTGGGTCTGGGGCCTGTGACTCACCGCCACTTTCCTGCCCGCGGGCCCTCCGCTGGAAAGGCGGCGGGGGCGGGGGGAGCGGTGTCTGGGCCCGGAACCGAGTGTGTGGGGCTCGGGCGCCAAGCCGGAAAGCGACGCAGAGCCGGACGCTGAGAGGTTCGGTTCCTGCCCAGTCCCGCTGTGGAGGTGCAGGGCGTACCCAGCCGCCCGCCTTCGCCACTGGGGCTCCGATGTCCAGTTCGGCTCAGCGCAGAGGAGATGATTCAGTGAGGCATAGCATTGTTGTCTCCTACGGTTTGCTGTCTGCTTCCGGGTCTCGCTATGTAGTTCAGCTGGCCTCGAACTCGATGCTCCTGCCTCAGCCTCCTTGGTGCTGAGATTCCAAGGGTGTGCCACCACAGCAGGTAGAATTACACCCTTGAAAAGAGACTAAAGTAAAACAGGGGCACTGTAGAAGTGCGACAATGGCCCAAGGAACAGCTCGGGGATACTTTTGTGTTAAGTGGTTCAAGATATGATTTGAAAACTTATGTGTTCAGTTTCATACTTGGACAGACGGATGCGAGAGGCTGAACAAACTCAATCCCCGTGGTAAGTTAGTGCCCCCAAGGCAGCGAGATGCCACCACACACTTTTGACGGTTTTTAATATCTCATTTACTGTGAATTTTTATAAAAAAGTAGATTTGTACTAGTTCATGTTTGCCGCCCATAATGATTGCATTCATTGGGAGGGGTTGGTACATGTGCATAACACATCTTAACTCTTCTTTCTTCCCCTTCTGTTAGTCATCTATTAAATGATTTTGTTCATCTCTGAAAGAGAAAGTTAAAACATGTGATGACCGTCTAGATTGGTTACTTTAAGGGTAACTATCTCTGTACTCTGAAAACAAAGGTTACCTTTTCTTACAGAGAGGGCTTACATTTTGCCTTATTTTTTAAGTAAATGATAGTGTTTATTTATATTTGAATAGCGTTTACTGTGAAAAAGATCCTCTGACCTGCGTCCTGAATTTGTCTTGATAGTCACAAGTTGGTGGTACCAGTCTTTTTTCACTTGATAGCACTATAATTTTTTTTACTCCACATTGTTAATAACCAAAACACACTTCCCAAAGTTTCCAAATAACCAACTCCTTAAAGCCTGAGGTTTTTACCTTCAAGTCTTTAGTCTCACTAGGCATATGCAAATACTTTTCAAATTAAATTTTTTGATAGGTTTTGAGGAAAGTGGTTTAAGAGCTTAGTTTTATCTCACTTATCATTTCTTTTTATAACCACAGCCTGCAGAAAGATAAATGTTTCACTTTGCGTTTTCTTGGGCTTGTTCGCCTGAATTCAAGAAGGTGGACTTGAAGAACTTTTGGAAGACGAGAGGAATAGAGATATGAAAATTACTTTTTATGGACTGTGTCTTTGTCCATAAAGACACAGTTCCTCCTGCCTCAGCTTCCTGAGTGCTGGGATTACAGGCCCAAAGATAGTTTTAGCACTTGGGATGCTGAGGCAGGAAGATCACCATGATCTTACAAATTGGCTCCAAGAGAACCTTGTAAAGTAGATGTTTTTATTTTTGAAATTTTCTTATAAAACAAAATCAAAATCTCCCTATGTTTTAAAATTATTTGTAAGTTGTAAAAATAATTCAAATTGCAAAGGTGGTTTTATTTATTTATTTATTTTTTGTCACTGGGTCTCGCTGTGCAGTTCAGGCTGGACTTGATCTCACTTTGTAGCCCAGGCTGGTCTTGAACTCACAAGGATCCTCCCTCCTCAGCTTCCTGAGTGCTGGGATTACAGGAGCAAAGATAGTTTTAGATAATGATTTTTTTTTTTTGGTATTGGGAATCAAACTCAGAAATTTGAGTTTGCCAGGCAGGTGCTTATGCTGCTGAGCTATATAGTAGCTCAGATAGTTTTCAAAAAGTGAGGTTATCCAGCCCCATCCCCTCTATTCCCATTTAGTATATAGTTGGAGTTATTTCTTTCCCTTTTGAGGAAGGTAATTACTTTTTTTTTTTTGAGATAGGCTCTCACTATGTAATCCAGGCTGGTCTCAAACTCCTCCCTCCACCTTCTAAGTGCTCCTGAAAAGTTTTTAATTTTGACTTTTTTTCCTCTTTAGTGAGCATGCCTTTGTAAAAGCAAAAAAAAGAAGCTATATCAGAGAAGAAGATCTGAAGTCTTCAAGGTTTGTAGTAATTTTTCCTCAAAAACAATAATGACTAAAAAACCTTTCTCTTTTCCTCATTAGTCCATTGCTGGTCATGCCTGTTTGGTTGGGGGGGCTAGGTTTTCATTTTGCTGTATTGCTGAATAACATTCAAGGTGGGTTTTATTAATACTTCCTGCTTAATGATTCTTTCCATGTTATGAGTAAACATGAAAAGTCTTGGTACAATCCTATCCCTTTAAGTAGGTCTTAAAAGTCCCTTTAAGTGTTTTTAAAAATTGTGTTAAGATTGGATTCTGAGGCTGGACATGGCGCACATCTGTAATGCCAGCACTAGGGAGGCTGGAGCAGGAGGATCGCTGTGAGTTTGAGGCCAGCCTGGGCTACAAAGTGAGTTCAAGACCAGCCTGAACTACGTGGCAAAATGCTGTCTTAAAAGACAAAAAAAAAAAAAAAAAAAAAAGATTGGATTCCAGTCTTATCTACATGTTATTCACCATGTCCTTTTTTTTTTTTCTTCATTTTTTAAAAAATTGAGGTTTAATTTTTTTGTTTTCCTGTATGCACAAAGGATAAGATAGGTAATTACTAGCTAGGCATGGTGCCTCATGCCTGTAATCCCAGCACAGGGGAGACTGAGGAGGATCACTTTAAATTTGAACATAGTAAATTTAAGGTTAGCCTGAACTATGTAGTGAGATGCTGTCTCAAAAAAAAAATACAATTACTCATCGTTTGGCTCTATTAATCCATGTGGGTGACCCTCTAAAAGCAAATCTTTATTTTGTTTTAAACATTTTCCCCTTAAAAGTTTTAGAGCGAGCATGATGTTGTACACTTGTACATCCTAGTGTTTGGAAGGCTGAGGCAGGAGGATCACCATGAGTTCAAGGCCAGCCTGGGGTACACAGTAAGTTTAAGTCTAGCCTATCTACCTAGTGAGAGCCTGTCTCATAAACCAACTCCCCTCCACGAATATGTGTTTTAGATCAGTTGTTATTTCAGTATGAGGTTAAGTTTGGAAACTAAAAGAGGAAGTGTAAGCTAAAATTTGGGGCACACCTGTAATGCTGTTATAAGTGGACATAATTTATGCCAGAGAAGCAGAAAGTACCTTTCCCTTGACCAACATGAAAGAGTTGCAGAAGAAACAGGCTTTAGCTGGATATGGTGGTGCACGCTTGTGATCCTAGCACTTGGGATGCTGAGGCAGGAAGATCACCATGAGTTCAAGGCCAGCCTGAACTACATAGCAAGACCCTGTCTCCAGCAGTACTCTACACCCTAAAAAGAGTCTTGCTCTTGTTTTTGGACATTGATGACTATAAAGCGATAGCATAACACTGTTACCAGATAGGAAGATAACAGAAACCTGTCTGCCTTTTGGGGATTACAGTGAAAGCGCACGTGCTCAAGTCATGTCAGCAGATGTCTCAGTGACGTCTCCATGAGCAGCTGGCCGTCACCAGGGCAGTGTGTAGGCAAGTGGCTTGCGATAATGGGCTAATCTGGCCTTTGTGTGGAAACAGAAGTTCTTCCCTTTCTTTGTGCTAAGGGCAGAGAAGACATTCACCGCACTCCCTACCATAGCGGTGTCTTATCAGGAGCATACCTTGGATACTTGACTTAGATATTCTGGTGCCTTTCATAGTTGCCCTCCACAGTTTTCTGGGCAATGTGGAGCCTCACTGGGTGTCTGGACCACCCTTGGAGAGTGACACGCAGGGATTACCTCTTGATTCTAGCATTGCTATCTGCCAGCCAGCCAAGATACAAGTTCAGGGCAGCTCTTCAAGACAAAGCAGAAGCCAAGTCGGCATATCAGTGGGAAGGTGCTGGGACAGGTGATGGAGGAAGGGCAGGAGTCTGGGATGGAAATTCAGGCTAGAGTGTCTGTCTCTACCTTGTGCTTTTCTAGGTCAGGAGTTGCTAATAGTCTATACCCCGAAATAGATTTATTTTTCTAGGCGTGATGGTGCTTCCTTGTAATCCCAGCACTGGGGAGGCTGAAGCAGGAGGATTACTTCAAGTTTGAGGCCACCCTGGGCTACATAGTAAGTTCAAGGTCTGCCTGAACTGCATAGGGAGACCCTATCTCAAAAAGCAAGCAAACAACAAACAAACCAAAACCAGCCTGGGCTGCATAGTGAGTTCAAGACTAGTCTAAACTACATAGTGAGATCTTGTCTGAAAAAAAAAAAAAAGCAAAAAAAAACAAACCCCAAAAGAAAATAGAGTTATTGTTGTCAGGGTTTATAAGGGAAAAGATTTAATACAAGACTAATAATTTATGGGATTATTTTATAGTATTCATCCAAAGAATTAAATACAAGAGCGCAGGAGATCTGTCCACACACTAGAGACCCAAAAAATCTAGCTAAGGCCTGGATCCCACAGCAGTGTCCTGCATGAGTCCAGCTGAAGACCTAGAGCCCATGGCAATGTCCTGCGTGAATCCAGCTGGAGCCATAGAGCCCACAACAATGTCTCATGCAAGTCTGTATCAAGGATTTACAGTAGGAAGGCCCAAAGGTCAGTGGTGAAAGCTAGAAAGTCTGCAGCAGTGGGATGAAGTATCTGTGCAAGGAGGCTGAGGGATCTGCACTGGAGCCAGAAAGTGACACTAAAGGTAAAGACCAAAGCTCCCCTGAAGAGAACTACAGCCATCCGCAGTGGCAGCGAGGACCTGAGCTTCTCCAAAGATGAGAATGACCAAGTTCATACCAGGAATATCCAGCATGATGAGTCTCTCCAGGAGAATCAACAGCACCATCTTCCCTTCTAGATCTTCTTTCATGCTGTTGGCAACAATCCTCAGGTGGGCCTTCCACACCCAGAGCCATGCTGACTCAGTTCATCTGAGTGTCACAAGATGACCATTAGTTAATCCACCACAGTTATTTTATTCAAAATAAATAAAATAATAAAATTGTTTGGTTTAGGCCCATATATTGGCTCTGAATGGTAACTTTGGCTATCTCCTGTAATTTCATATTTTCTGTCTCCTTTCTTTTTATAATACAACCTCCACACCACCACGAAAAAAGGGGAACTAAACTGCAATAGAAGAGGAATCACAGCTGGCTTTAAATTAGTTAGAAAAGATTAGGCAGCACATATACTAAAATCAGAGTAAGCTAAAAACAAGCCCTGAAAAGTCCAGTTCCTTGCATTTTACGGTGTTTGTTTATTTTAATGCTTCCTAAGGGAAAAATTAAGAAGTATACCAAGGAGAAGAGCAGCAGGAGAATCACAGAAGGTCTCGATAACTGCACATTTTGCACCCCAGATGCTGCCCAATCCTGTTGCACCATGAACTCAGCAGCAAGGGTTGCTGAGATCCGTTCCTGGTGGAAGTATTCAGAGCTTTTCTGACATCACTGCTCTCTTGTTTCTTTATACCAGGACTCTGTTCTCGTTTGGAACATTTCAGTTCTTCCAGCTTTAATCCATGGTGATCAGTCTAAAGTAGTAGGAATAGCAAACAATGAATTTGAATTGAAAAAGTAGGATAAAACCTGCAGATCTTGAATAATGAAAGAAAAGTGCTTAAAATCGCTTCAAAGATCATCAAAGTGCTCTGAGATAATTAAGGTACTAATAATTGAAAAAAACAAGGAGTGGGTATATTCAGCTTTTCTATATTCTGTAGTTTTTAAATCTTATTTATCATAAATTGTTTGGAATTACTTTTTCTTTAGAAATAACTAGATTTATAGAAGAGTTGCAAAGATTCCATAGACTTTTCTATAAATCCTTCATCAGTATTTCTTTAATGTTAACATTTTAGCCAGACATGATGTTATGCGCCTGTAATCCTGGCACTTGGGAAGTTGAGGCAGGAGGATTACTTCGAGTTTGAGGGAGGCTAGCCTGGTTTATATAATGAGTTCAAGACCAGTTTGAGCCACATAGCAAGATCCTGTCTCAAAACCAAATAAAAATAATGATAATGTCTTATATAGCCATGGAACAGTCATCAAAACTAAGGAATTATCTGTTGGTGCAGACATGGCCATTTTTGGTGGTCCTTTCAGCCATACTGTCCTGTTGCCCAGCGGGCTTTTTGCTGAATGGCCTGGAGCTGTATTAATCACAGTCCCTGCTTTCAGACGTTTGGTGCCCTGCGGTCATATTCCTCTGTTCCTCAGGCTCCAGATGACTGTTTGGGCAGGGCTCAGTCATGTTCAGTCTGATGTGACTTTGTTTGAGAACAGCTTTCCAATTTTAATTTTATTTCTAACCAGTGTATATCTTTCCAGTACCCTCTCAGCCCCCTTTAAAGAGCAGTTCCACCGGGGCATCGTGGCACATGCCTAAAACCCCAGCACCTTGGAGGCTGAAGCAGGAGGACTGCAGTGAGTTTGAGGGCAGCCTGGACTACTGAGTTCAAGGACAGCCTGAACTGCATAGCGAGACCCTGTCTCAAAAAGATGAAGTTCCAGTGTTAACTTTTTTTTTTTTTTTGGTTTTTCTCTGCTACCAGTAACTGAACTCACGACCTTGCGCTTGCCAGGCAGGCGCTTTTGCTGCTGAGCTAAATCCCCAGCCCCTCCAGTGTTAACTTATCCTGGGTTCCTAGTTTTCCCTTATAGTCTTGGCTGAGTAACTGCTTACTGTCTTATTAGTTCTTTGTGATTTGTGAGAATTTGTTTTCTGTGGTGACCCAATTATTTTACCTGTTTACATAGAAAAAGGTTAATTGGAGTCTAGCTCATTGTTTTGTAAACATTATATATTGAAGTGTTTATTCTTGATCATGATTTAATTAAAACACATTCTATTTGAGGTTGCATTAGATATAAAGATTCATAAAGGGAGAGTTGACATATTATTGCTCAACATAGTATGGAACATATTTTCTATTATTCCAAATCTATTTTTTTGAGTAATTTTTTTTTTATTTTTTGTCTTTTTGAGACAAGGCTTTGCTGTGTAGTTCAGACTGTCCTTGAACTCACTTTGTAGCCTAGGCTGGCTTCGAACTTACACCAATCTTCTTGCCTCAGCCTCCTGAG